TGGTACCAAACTGTTGCTCTGCTTCATAAATGATGATCAGCACCCAGGGATGACTAAACTGAGCCCATCATCTTCCCTGCACATGAAACACTGGAGGTTTTTTCCCATCTGTTTTAATTAATCTCATTATCTATGAATTAACAGAATATTGCTTAAGGAAATCACGTCTTGCTTGGTCGAATTAATGTTTTAGTTACAATGAAACCTTTCTATTCTCTAGAAGAAGTGTTAAATGTCTCCAAACCCAATATTTGGCAGGTGAAAACACACAACCCACCCCAGTCAGATACAGAGATTCCTCTTGAGCAGAGTTAATGGCATTAGTGCCCCTCGGTCAGTGCAAAGCCCGGGTCTTATCTCTGACGTGGGCAGATAAACAGATTTCCAAGGCCAGAGCTCACGTGGCACCTTGGCTTTCAAGGTCACAGGTTACACTGCACGGAAGCCAATTCCAAGCCACCCTTACACATGTTCCTAAATAAATAGTAAGAGGATGTTTCGATCTGTGTATTCACAGAGCCCATGGACGTGCTCAAAATATCAGTTATATACTTATATATTAAATTGCACTTACTATAAATCCTGCCTGGTTTACCCCACCTCTGTCTGCTGGGGAGCACATAAACAATCCCAACAGATATTCCAGTATTTTCTCTTGCCTAAAGTTATCATCACTCCTTTTTCTCCAAGAATTCAAATGAAAACCCAAGCAGGACGAAATTAAACTCACTACTCATTCTGTTGGTTAAATTAGGCTTAATAATTAAATAAAGAATCTAAAGGATGTTTTATGGGAAAACACCACTTCAGATATCTGATTTCTTCATGGGTTGAACAAAAGTTATTTCTTTCAGGTAACAAGATCCTCTATATGAAATATATCCTGTATATGAAACCTAACACATGGACACAACCACTGTCAGACTCTGTTCTGCTTCAGAATCCCTTGGCCTTCAAAAAAAAAAAAAAGGCACAAAACCTGAGATTACCAAATAACTGTGAGATAATGTCAGTCCTGCAGGACTTTTCCACCATTTGTATGATGATGAACACCTGCCCATAGAGCTGGATTTCTCTTGGACATTTGCAGCAACTCAGACTAACAGAAGGGAAAAGAAACTAATTTTGGGGCCCTCTTTTAGGCCGAGGAGCTACAACTCAGTTCCCCAAACCAGCTTAAAAACTCCACCACGACGAATTTCCTTGTTAAAAGTAAATAAATAACATGGGATGTCCAAGCTGAAGAAGCCCTTTTACAAGCTCTTAAAAACTGTGCTATGGGCTAGATCTTAGATTAATGCTGGTGATGCACACACTGGAAACCTGTAAAGCATTTCTGTAATTGCTAAGCATTATTATTTTTATTACTGCACCAGATGGAACCAATCCATCTTCGCAGATAATATCTCATAAATGATTCATTACTATTCCTTTAACCTAAAGTCTTTTCTGTTTTGCAGATCCACCAGAAGTAACTATTAGGAGGCTCCATGCATAAAAGAGTACATAAACTACCTAATGTCTTCCAAATGTAGGAGCCTTGCTAATGTTCACCCTTAGGATGGTCACACTGCTCCTGCTCCTCTCAGAAGCTGTTGCTTCTGGAAGATCCTCCTCATTTTCCAACACTGATTTCCAGGTAAAATGTCACTGCAAACCAGGGGTGAAGTTTATAGTTTATATTCCTGCCATTGGTGGTAAATATGGACCAGGAAAAGGCTTTATAAGAGACATAAATATCTCAAAAAATGCACAATATAGTTTTGTAATCCAATAATTCTTGGCTTGTTCCTCCAGTTAAACAGAGCCCTGTGATCACACTGCCCATCTCCCCTTTGCCCAGTAACTTTTGGACCAATTTTAATCAGATCACAAAGCCAGGTGGACATCTCAGAGACATAATTTTCTATCAGCTTAATGAAAACTGATGGCTGGGAGAGAGGAGAAGGACACAAATTAGTGCTGCCACTGGTAAAAGGGCTCAAATGGGAGCTCAGCCATCTCCCCCCAGGCCTGGGCTGCCTCTGGCCATGCAGACACTCTTAGGCCAAGCTCAGACATCCCCTGCCCACTTTAGACACAGGCACTGATGATACTTTTAGTGAAGTAAAGCTTGTCTAAAAATGTATTAAAGGTTGGCACTAGCAAAGTGGTATCACTGATTGGTGACCCCAACACTTAAAATGGGAAAAAATGCTGAATTGCACCTCAAAAAAACCCACCATTTCTTGGATTAGAAGAAAACACAGAGAGAGAGAAGCTAAACCCACCAAAATTAGCTTAATATTTCGATGAATATTTTGAATATTTGATGGATATTTTGATGACCTGGGGAGCATCAATAGGCAAAAAATAATTCCCAGAGTCCCATGTGTGAACCCCTGGGCTTGCAGGTCTGCACTGCTTCCAGGGGATTATTTGGGTTGCCTGAGCTGCTCTTTACACCCAGAACAATTAGTCAGTGGAATGGTAAAAGCTTGTTGCAAGTGAGGAGCCCTGGTACGATGCCTGAAATATTTATGGGGTTTAGCAATGAGAAAACAAGTTACAGTCTCCTTGTAACACAGACATTGAGGGTTGGATTTGAGCTAAGGGTTCTGCTGCTTGTATTTGGCACAATGGGATAAATTAAGGCTTCTTTGGTTTTTTGGCTGAGTGGTTTCAGACTCAGCTTTAATATCACTTTTTATTAGCTGAGGATTTGGGGTGTTTGAGTAAGGATGTCACACACAACTCAGTTTTCTGTTGTCACCCCTCAGCATGTCTGAATACACTGGAAATATTAATTTAAATACACCACTTAAACCTCAGCAGCAGCAAACACCAGGGGACCAGAAATTAAAGCTGTTGTGAACTTTTATGTCATTTTGTTTAAAAACACGACAAACTACGAAAGTCAAAAATTAAGGAAACCCCCCAAGACAAACTAAAATGCAACTGTCAGGATAATGATCTGTGCTATGAAAAGCCTAACACACAGAGAACAAGACATGAACAGCTTTGTATTTACCTCTGGAACCCCAAACTCTGGGGCCTGCTGCAAGCAGAGAAGGGTTTGAGCATCTTGGGAAAGCAGCAGCTCCATGAAGAATCCTGATCTTGGAGGGCTTTTCCAACCTAAATGATTCTGTGACCCCACAGCCCAGCTCTCCCCCCCTCCTTGGCTCAACCCATCAGCACTAAATCTGCAGCACGAGGAGTTTTCAAAGGTTCCTGGTACTTTACCTGCTAATTCTTCCCACCTTCACTAAACTGCAGCAGAGGAGGGTTTGGGGATCTAATTTGTCAAGGATATTAAACTCCTGCTCAACCTCCTTCTTCCAAAGGTGTTTTATTCATCACCAACACGTGTTTAATTTAACTGGAAAAATGTGTTTGGGGCTGAAATAGTAGAACTTTGCCACCAGGCACTTGGACACTGGCTCTCTTCTAAACATTTTATAAGAAGTCACTATTTCCCTTGGAAACCACATGAAAGCATCTCTTGAGCAAGTGGAGCTATCTTTGACTTGAAAGGCACCATGTGATCTCAGCCATTCCACTTCCAACCAGTTTTCCAGCTCAATTCTGACTCACAAAATAGTAAACTGCCTCGAAAGCTTGCCCTCAAAAATCTAAATCCATCTAAACTTTTCATGAAAATTCATGCAAAAATGCAGTTTTTCAGCACCCAAAAAAAAAAAGGAAAGTCAAATGCAGAATAAAATGTTTTTTGAGCAGCTTCGAATTCCATGTGGAAAGGAGAGTGTGGAGCCAGGTCCTCCTTTGGTGGAGGGTGACACAGTGAGGGGCAGGCAGAGGGTGATGGTGCCCTCCTAAAAATCCTTCTCAAAGGGGAACCCTACAAAGTGCAGGGTTGAGGCATCACCATGAAAAAACAAAACTTCAAATCCTTCATCTTTGACTGAGCTGTTCGATATTCCACTAGAAGTACTGGAATTTATAGACTGACCATTTAAAAACAATACCTTTTCCACTCCTCTTGTCACATAAAATAAATATTCCTTATAAAACCAGGCACAGATTTTTTTTTTCCTTTTGCTGATACCTCAGCTAAATATGATGAGCTGCATTTCACTGCATTCCCTCGACTGACATGACATTGCTGTGAGCAGGAGAACCAAATCAGCCCTAAGTCAAGAAAATCCCTCTAATGCAGGTAATTTTTAAAAATCCCTCACGACTGGGACCGTCTGACTTTTAACAAGGTAGGTTTGGCAAGTTCTTACAGTAAGTCATGCCCAGGAGAACAATGTGCAAGCAGAGCTCACTTCCTTCCCAGACATGTTTTCCCTTGTGCTCAGCTGTTCCTGCTAAGACTGGGATGACTCTGATACCACTTTGGCCTCTCAGTGTGCAGGTTTTAACTTTGTTACTTAGTTAATTCACTTGCCTTAACGGGAGGTTTTTAAATACAACTCCCAGCTGTTCAGCACAACCAGGTTTCATTTACACAGCTCTAACGGCCACGAGACAGAAAAGAGAAACCCCAGCCTTAAAACACACATTATTTTATCCCGAGGGAGAGAACAGCAAGGATTCAGCTGAAGGGACCGGGTAGGATGACAGTTCTGCAGAGAAATATGTTTTCATTTCAGGATCCCCGCAGCTATTTTGAATTTAATTGCGTGGAAGACCACCAGGGTTTCTGCCTCAAACACAAACCAATCGCCAGAGAAACAGCTGTGACGTGCAGGAAACCAATTCTAACGTGTTGAAATGGTTTCAAAGGAACCAAAAGGCAAAAAAATGGCAGGAAGTGTGACTTTGAAGCGTGCACCAAACTGGGGTTTGGGGCTCTGGTAAAAGGAGAAGTTTGTAAATTAAGTGATTAGCAGGGAGGGAGCTGTACAGGAATGATGTGGCCTAATCCAGATGGAAAGGGACAGGTGGGAACAACAGGAAAACAGGTGTCATCCCTTCTTTTGGGGTGCTTGGGGAGCAGAACTGAGATTTGAAAGCTCACAACACACCTCTCAAGGTGTCCAGCGCTGCCTTACCTTTCTGGAGGTGGGCACGTGGCTTGGGGGGTCACCAGGCTCAAAGGAACTCTGCCAAGAGAGAGAGAAAGAAGATTAAACACACTTTGCAGGTAAACTGGGGCCTGTTTTGACACAAGAAAATACTCTCTGTAAAAAAAGATTTTAAATCAGTTCTGCAGCATTCAGTCCAGAAAATGCTCCCCCTGCTCGGTGACGTTGCAGGACACAGAATATTTTGTATTCAGGTGGAAGAGGAAGGTTGGAAAAAAGGGAAGGAGTCGGATATAGGCAGGTAATAACAGGGTGGGTCTGGAGATCAACTGATCCCCCATTAAATTAGAATTGCTGAACCAGGGGGAAGTAAACACAAGTTACTAAATTGTGCTACTCTGACACTTCCCATTCGGAGAGAACACATGAATCACGGAGAGGGCTGAATATTTGTCACAGCTGTGATTTCAGCATCAAAGAGAAATTAATTTTAGCTCAGATTGGAGGGGAGTTTCCAGAAAACTTGTCGGTTCAGCCAACCGGATACTGGACTGCAAGGGGAGCTTTCCCTGGGGTTGAAGCCACCCAAGAACAAGCCCTCAAAATGCCACGGGATGAAGAACGTGGTCAAGGGCCTTGGTGGCTTTTTGGCTGAAGGTGAAGCTCTCGGCACACTGAGACATCACGAGCTGCATTTGGATGGGGTTTGGTGCTTTTCAATCGATGTGCGCGCTGAACGTTTTGGATTTCAAAGACGAGGGATCGTCAGCAATACAAAAATACCCAAATGCTGAAGCGCAGCTTTTCGGGTTTTCATGATGGAAATAAAAAAAATGATGCCCTGAAGTTTTTCTGCTCTCCAAAGCAGTGGGGTTTTTTTTTTATTCTTGGCAGCGACAGAGCTCCAGTTCCACCCGCAGTCCTGACTCACTGGGAGTGCTGGGGAGGGGAAGTGGCCCAACTCCACGAGCCTGCACAGGAGGGAGAGCTGGCAGCAAAAAGGAATCGTTTATATTCCAAAAAAAAAAAAAAAAACAACCAAACACCGTGATTCTGGAGTAAACAAACTATTTGCAAGTTCAGATTGGATTTTACAGCAGAGCAGAGGAGACCTGAAACTTGGAGAGTGTCTAAAAGCTCAAAGCAAAGCATTTGATGTGAAACAAAATGGTGCATTCAATTCCAAGTTAATGGTTTCTGCTGAGAAAAACGCAGACAATTCTGGTTTTGTTTTTAAAAGCGAATTTCTGTATATTGCTGTTCTTACAAACCCTGACAAACACAGGCACACACAGAAGTAAATCCAAATTTTAACCCCCAGGAGTCCAGACTTTCCACACTTATTTGAAGCAGGAGCTGATGAAGACACTTGTATTTCCCAGATTCGTGCTACCACCCAAAACTTAAAAACGGCTCTAAATCACTCTAAAATGTTAAGAAGGATATTTTAGATGGGGGTTAAATCCATCTAAAGGTGATGTGAAATTAGGAGGAGGTGTCCTGGCTGCTCTGCTGTCCTGCCCACTCCTGCCTTCAGAGTTTGGCTCACTTTGGGGTGAATCAGTGCAGAAAATGAGGCAGCCAAGAACCGACTCCACAAAAACTCTCTTCTGCCAGCTGAGCTCCCTGAGCCAGCTCTGCACGGGGCAAACCAGCATCACAGGGGTTGGGGAAAGAGGAGAAAAAAGATGCCTCTACACAGGTATGCAATTTTTTTCCATCAGCTCATTTTTCAATTCCTTATCTCCAACATGAGACCCTCAGCATATTCCAGCACCCCTCTGTTTCCTACCCCTGGGCTCAGCTCTCTCCTTTCAGGTGCAAATAATCTGATTTTTAGCCCACTGACAGAAGCTAGAAACAAAAAAAACCTACTTACAATTTTAACATTTCTCTAAAGAATAAAAAGCAGTTACGAGGCAATTTATGCAGTTGTTGTTTCTGAAACATAAAGGAGGCTCAGATTATTCTCAAATGTATTTTTTTCAGCAGCTCAGAGTTTTTTTCTCTGCCAACCTCTTATTATTGCACCTCCACTTCTCAGGCCCTGTGCATGCAGCGTTTTATGGATGAAGCCCATCGGATATTGCTGCAGGATTGGGCTCCAGTCCCACTGGGAGCTCAGAAACACATCTCCAGCTCTCCCCCTCAGAGCAAACTGCTCAGGGAACAGGATTTAAACTTCCAATATCCCACAGGATGACTTGCAGGCAAATCACTGGGGATTGATCCGTCAGCTGCTTCACAGCTTGTGTTTAGCAAATACATTTTTTCCTGTGGAAATCCTGCCTAACAGGTTAAAAGGGGATTTTCCACGAGAAAACCCACAGCAAAAACTGAAGTGGAATTGCAGAAATAGCTAAAGCTGACCCGAGAGCCCTCTTTGCATCTCCAGCTGCACATCCCCACCACCTTCCCTGGATCAGAGCTCTGGAAAGCTCAGCCTGAAGGACAGGGAGAAAATCAGCGCTCGGTCCATCCCTGAGCTGATCCAGTGTCCTGCTGCGGGATCCCTGATCCCAGGGGAGGTGTGGGAGCGTGGGAGGAGGTGGGAGGACAGGTCTGGCCCCTTCCACACTTCGGGGCTGTAGCTGCAGGGAACGTTCACAGGAAATCTTCCTCCCAAAATAGGCGTTGTTCTTCTACACCTCCCACTGAACAGTGGGTACGATCCAGGAATACAGACTTTGGAAACGGTTTCAGAGGAGCTCTGAGGAATGTATCAAAAAGTCCATATGGTTTTGCCAAATCAAGTGTGCAGAACTGGGTAAATTTAGCCCTGTGCTGAAGATCTAAAATTTGTCTTGTTTGACCCAAGTGGAAGGAACGGAGTCAGAGGGGACTCAGACACACATGGATCTGATAATTCCTCGTCTTGGGAGGGGGGGAAAATTGGTGAGTAACACATTATTTAATGTGTGGAAACAAAAGGACACCTCGGATCCCAAGGAAGGGCCATGGAACATGAAAGCACTCCCCAGACAGGTCTAAATAATGCTACTTTCTCTCACATATTTAGGTGGTGAAATCACAAGTGACAAGTGGTTGGCGCTGTGACAGCTGGGCCCATGTTTCCAAGTTTTTCCTCCTGTAACTCAGAAGAGTGAAAGCTTTGTTTCAAAGGAAGGTGGAAATTCTTACAATGAGACAGGAGGTGACGGCTCCAAGAAAAAAATGACACCTTGTTCATTGTAAAAATCACAGGTGTTCCCAAGAGTGAGGTGTCAGTAAATAAGGAAAGGCTTCCCAAGCCTCCCTATTTCCATGTTCACTGGCATAGCTTAGCCCAGTGCTGTTCATGCCATGCACCTGGAGCACCCTGGAGTTATTGCCTTTCTAATTTCCCTTCCATATCCAAAGGCCACCCCTCTGGAGCCCCTGGAAGCTCAAGGTCAGGCTCAATTCTCCAAGCTGAAGTGGCTGAGCTGTTCCATGCAGATACTTCCAGGAGCAAATCTTGAACACAAACTGCTCCTTCTTCCCCTTAGATCCTGGGGCAGTTCTGGGACCCCAGACCAGGACATGGAGGGGCTGGAGCGTGTCCAGGGAAGGGAATGGAGTTGGGGAAGGGTCTGGAGCAGCTGAGGGAGCTGGGGGGGCTCAGCCTGGAGAAAAGGAGGCTCAGGGGGGACCTTCTGGCTCTGCAACCCCCTGACAGGAGGGGGGAGCCGGGGGGGGTCGGGCTCTGCTCCCAGGGAACAAGGGACAGGAGGAGAGGGAACGGCCTCAGGCTGTGCCAGGTAAAGTTCAGGTAGGATATGAGGGAAAATTCCTTCATGGGAGGGGTTGTCCAGCCCAGGGCAGAGGTGGAGTCCTAAACCCTGGAGGGATTTCAAAGCCCTGTGGATGTGGCACTTGGGGACAGGGGTCAGTGGTGGCCTGGGCCGTGCTGGGGGATGGTTGGACCTGATGATCTTAAAGGTCTTTTCCAACCAAAATGATTCTGTGATTCCACAATTCTAGAACACTTTCTGCCTCCCTCCTCTTGTCCTCTCAGTGATCAGAGGCTTTGGCAACAGTTCCCTGAATTCCCCTTAAGAAAGAAGAGGATCAGGATGCCTCCCAAAATCCCCTATTTTCTGGCATTCTTGCCACGTCAAAAGAGTGGGGGGTTATCAAGCAGCACATGCAACAAAGCCCCCCAAAATCACACAGTAACACAAAGTACAACTAGAAAAAGAAGGGTGTTTAAGCACCACTACTAATTTCAATATAAGAATGCAAAAGGTTTATAAAACTGGGTATGAAACATTGAAAGGTAACACCTGTGTGATGGGAAATACAGGAACTAATATAACAGTATGAAAGGAACAAAGGAAAGTCCTTTGCTGATTGAATTTGTAGATTTATCCAGAAAAAAAATTAAGATTTACAGCTCATTTTTAGTCACATTAAATGTATCTCCAGCCTTGTGGATGAAACATTCAGGATGTTGTCCTGAGAACAGTGAAATCTCAGAACCCAGGAACTTCAGGCGAATCCTGGTAATTTTACCTTCCAAACCTGCACTTTTGCACACTAAAAAAACATGATTATGCTTTTCAAAAATATCAGCCTATGGTTATAAAACTCTCCCCATCCTCTTTTCTGCCTCGAAACTTTAATTAAGTCCCCCCTCTGTTCCCAGGCAGCAGCAGCAGCAGCCTAATGGCTTCAGAATATTTTCTTACAAACTTCAAAACACACAGACTCGCTGTGAGATGCAGCCTTTGAACTCGAGCTGCTTAAATAATCCCTTTTATTTTTATTTATTTTCGAAAATATCAGATTCTAATCCTCTCTAACCAAGTAATAATAATAAAAAAAAAGAAAAAAGTACAGTTCTTTGGAATTTTTTCTTATTCTTTTTTGTGATGTTCGGTGATGGATCTACAGATTTCTCACATGAAAAGTGTTCACAGCTGCAAAAAAAAAAATAAAAGAAAGAAAGGCATAAAAATGGTTCTCCTCAGCAGATTTTGGAGAAGTTTTGCAAAGTACTTTTCCTGACAGATGTAAAGCAAAGTAACCTGCCTGAAGTCACCCAATAGGTTGGGTTTCTGATGTGATTCTTTATGAATATCTGGAATAAACTGTGT